ATGAAAAATAACATTCACCCAAATACAACACCGAACATAGACACAACAAAAACCATCAAGAAATTTTACAGTGTAACGTATATTCCCAACCTAACCGACAACTTTGATCACAGCATAACTAAACCACAAAACACAGCACTTGCCTACAAATCCAATTACACTCTTTCGACAATATACACAAAAACAAAGTGCCCAGTAGATGTCCACCAACAAAGCGATGTAGTGTATGAAATTAAATGCAAAGGAAAGGAAAATGAAGAATGCGGGAAAGTGTATATTGGGACAACCAAGCGGCCTTTAGGTGTTCGATTAGGCGAACATGAAGCTGACATCAGAAAACAAAAAAGCAGTACAGCATTAGCACAACATATAACAACAAGTGGACACACAGATGATTTCGCAAACGCAAAAGTTATTGACAAAGAAAAAAGAGAGTCAACCCGATATACATTGGAGAGCCTCAGAATAATGCAAAGGAGAGAAAAGACCATGAACAGAAAGGAAGATACAGACAACATTGCGGCCGCATACATTTCATGTTTATGATTATAAACTAACTTTTAGTATTGACAAAGCTACCACAAAAGATGGTAAGATTATTAGTATTTAGTGTTCAATAATTCGTATGTATTAATGTTAAAATAGTGTGAGTCAAATTGTATGTTCTCAAACTCAGTCTGTAGTTTTTCTTGTCATTTGTACTTCCATATATGTATATGTTTTTATGTCTCCATTTATTATTTTTGGTTATAATGTGTTTTTGTATTTTATGGTTCGTGACAGATTTAATTAAACGGAATTGCCCCTGAAGAAGCTAAAAATGTTTTAGCGAAACGTTGGGCCAGTAAGTGAAATAACGTAGTTTTATTTGCACAAAACACTTAGATCAGACCAGCCTGGTAACATACAATTGATTTTTATGTTTATTTACATATTAAGGAGTCAGAATGCCATATGCGGTTTTGCACAAGTATCGGAAGACAGAAAAACGTTTACTTTGAAATGTGGTTTTTGCGCTGAAACATATTTGCTTTGGTCTTGGGCCAAGTTCATACTTCACATGCAAGCGTTCCATTCAAAAGAAGAATTAATAAAACAAGTTGAAGTTGAAACACAAACAGAGTAAGATTAATTATTATTTTCTAAATGGTTGTTTTTCCCAAAAAAGGTTATCATCCTTCCTAGATGCGATCAAAACCTAGAGTTAAGGTGTGAAATTAGAAATTTAAGAAAACTAGAAGCAAATTTAAAATGCCTTTTTACCGAAGGCCAAATAATAAAGTTAAAGAGAGAGTAGTTAAAAACGTTCACTGGAACAGTGAAGATATTAGCAATGCAATTGCAATAAATGCTGCAGGCCCTAGAGCATAGAGACATCTACTAAATAAAGGATTTCCATTCCCTTGTGTATCTACCATTAATAATTGGGTTCGCACTGTGCCGCTCGAGGAAGGTTGTCTTCAAACCATTATCAATTTGATGAAAAATGTTGATATGTGCTTCGAAGACAAAATTTGTATACTTTCGTTTGGTGAAATGAAGGTTTCAAGTTGCTATGAGTTTGAATTGAAAATTATATAAAACTATTACTTGAGACGACTTGTTTTATTTAATTAAGTAATAGGAATTCATCTTTGCGATTAAAATCAATTTTGATTACAGAACAAAAATTTGTGTTTTTTTAAACATGTGTTATCTGAGGGTTAATTGAAATAAAAAACTAACACAAACACATCAGTTCACGTATGAATTGTCAAATATGGATATTGTCATTACTTGGCACACTGTCTACACTGTGGCTATGGCTCGAAGAAATTAAAAAGAAAAAAAAATTAAATCAGCTGCTGTACTGATAGTACCTGTTTTATATGCCTTGGGGTGATTCATTTCCAAAGTGACTTACATGCCTATTCTGCGTTAGTGAGAAAAATTTTGTTACCGGTAAATAAAGTTACTGTCAACTTTTAAACTCTTTTCGCATTCTCCACACTCTTGTAACCGGTAAATTTTGTTACCAACTCATGAGCAGGCAACAAAATATTGCCCCGTGAAATATCCAACACCAGATTTCTACAAAATTTCATAGCTCATAAGGTACAAAGAATTACGGTTACAAGAAGTGGTATCAATGTTCGGTAACAAAATTTCCCAGTTACAAAACGTTCGGTAACAAGCAGAATAGGCCTGTTACAGGTCTATTCTGTACGTTACCGAAGATTTTGTGACCGGAAAATTTTATTACCAAAAAATGTTACCACTTCTTGAAGTGCAGTGCAGTGAAGATATTCAGCAATTCAGCTATGAAGGTTTGTGGAAATTCCTGTATTGCATATTTCACGGGGCAATATTTTGTTACCAGCTTTTGAGATGGTGACCAAATTTACCGGTTACGAGAGAGCACAGAATGCGAAAAAGGTTTCAAAATTGACAGACACCTTAATTACCGGTTAAATTTATGTTACTAGCGAAGAATAGACCTGTTAATGTCAATTGACATTAACTCACGTTTGGCTTTGTGTTAATGTCATTGACATTAATTCCCTCATGATACAAAAGTAGAAGGTAGTTTCATTTATTGACATTCGTTGTTGTTGCCGACCATTTGACTTTTAACAAGTTTATGAGATTTAACTAAAATCATGCTACCAGATTCACAAGCAGGAAAATTTTTGTTTCTTGAAAAAATTGTATGAAAATATTAAACAAAATTCTTGCGCGTTTCCAAACTGCAAGAATTGAGTACACCTGTGCGAAGGTTCGAAAATTAAGTTTTTTGCTTTTCCGAGGATAGAGTACGTAATACGATCTAATGCAGTTTGATGACAAATTGCTGACGCAAAACATTTTGAAACCTCTAAACGATGTACCGTTATCCGTGGAAAAGGGAGGAGGTCATGATGCCCTGCAACTTGTAATAGTACCAATTTTTGGGTTTTCGGAATTTCCTGATAAAGATGTGGCGATGCTAAAAATTATATATACATAAACATAAGCACGAAACTAAGTATTTGTGACCAGAATTAGCCACGTAAGATGAAAACTGCTGCATTTTCATTTTATAAAATTTTGTTTATAGAAAAATGCATAAGTAAGACAGCTCGGGTACGGTTCGGTTATTTGTACAATGCTTTTGGGTTATCGTATCCAAACGCGTAACCCGAATCAAAAAATTTCAACATATGCGTCTAGCCAAAGGATTAGGCTTTAATTTAAAGCAAAGATTTCGGTTTGACATATGCACTTTTTTTTGTAAATTTGTAAATTTAGAGGTGGATTTTGCGCAAAAATACTGTGGATGGCGTAACCGGAGTTGGACTGACCAGGTTATTTTTCCTAGCGCGGCCGAAGGCCACCAACGCGGAAAGGAGTTTTGCGTAAAAATACTCCTGATGGCCTAACACGAGCTTAATTTTCCTTTGCGAAAATGCTAATTTCACCCCATTTTGAAATGGCGTCTGTAGAAGGGCAGGGAGGAGAAGGATGGCTTTTCTTAAATTTTATACTATGCTCTTTTTAGTGAGTGTAGTTTTAGGCGGCACACCCCTTATCATTTCCCACACACAACATTAAATCCTCTGATGTATTGTTTGATTACTATAAATGTGGCAAGGTAGCTCACAATTTTTTACAATTCATGAAACTTATTTTTTGTCAAAAATTTTGAAATGAAACTACCTTCTTTTTGTATCAAAGGTGAGTTTATATCAATTGAAATTAATTCCAATGACATTATTGCATGTCACCGGGTTTTTGCTAAGTATTCGGTTAGAAAAGATTTATGTATTCTTTTATATGAACTACACCTTTTTCAGTTTTAGTTAAGAAAGTTGCAATTTAAATTCAGAAAGTTACAATTCAAGTTCAGAATTTCCATTTCAAATTCAGAGTTTTCATATCAAATTCAGAAAGTTGCAATTCAAATTCAGAATTTCCATTTTAAATTCAGAAAGCTGCAATTCAAATTCAGAATTTCCATTTTAAATTCAGAAAGTTGCAATTCAAATTCAGAATTTCCATTTTGAATTCATAAAGTTGCAATTAAAATTCAGAAAATTAAATTTCAAATTCAGAATTTCCATTTCAAATTCAGAAACTTTCATTTCAAATTCATAGTTACAATTTATATTCAGAAAATTTCCATTTAAAATTCAGAAATTTACAATTTAAGTTCAGACAATTTCAAATTAAGCTCAGAAAACTTTGTATACCTTGCATTCAATGGAAATATACATATGTATATATTAAATTTGTGCAAGTCTTTAGCTCTATGTATGTAATTATTTATTTTCATTTAAGGGAAAGAGTAACAATTCAACCATTGCAATACATACTTAGCATGAAATGAAAAGCAATTCTGTGTTGCTCGAGCACAATCTCCACCTGATATGGCTACCTTGGCATGATCAATCTTTTTCCAAGTACTGCAGCCTCTGCTCCGTTAACCCTAGACCCTCAACATTGGACACATCCTTACTTGGTTTAACAAGTTGCTTCATTTTGGACCACAATATTTCTACTGGATTTAGCATAGACGAATATATACCCAAACGAAGATACAACTTAAAATCTCAAAATCGTACAGTGAATATGAATTTTTCTGAACTTAAATTAGAAATTTCTGATTTTAAATGAATATTTTCTGAACTTGAATTGTAACTTTCTGAATTGAATTGAAGGTTTCTGAATTTGAAATGTAACTTTCTGAATTTGAATTGCAGCTTTCTGAATTTAAAATATAAATTCTGATTTCGAATTGCAACTTTCTGAATTTAAAATGGAAATTCTGAATTTGAATTGTAACTTTTTGAATTTGAAATGAAAATCCTGAATTTGAAATGGAAATTCTGAACTTGAATTGTAACTATCTGAATTTGAAATGGAATTTCTGAATATGAATTGCAACTTTCTGAACTAAAACTGAAAAAGGTGTAGATACATGAAAATGAAATATCAGCAATTCTTTATATACATACATATGTATGAATACTCTTAAATTTCAGTGCCAACATACTTATCACCAATAGAGACCCACTGCTCTAATGTAGACTATTTTCCTCAATGGGATGAAGAAAAGGCAGCAAACGAAGACGCTAATTCCAGACTGCACTTGGCGCGATCGTGCATTGCTTTATTTGTTATTGGGTAAAACATATCCGAAGAACTTATGTATATTAGACTTCTGATGTCTTAACATTTCCTTTTTCTAATTCAGATTCGTCACAATTTTCTGTGCATTTTGGTCAGGACTTTCTGGATGTTGGAAACGATCGTCTGGTGCTATAACAGCTACATCGATTCTTTTATTAGCAAGTTGTTTACTGTCAGCTGGTGCTATGGGTTTGTGGCATACCGTGGAATTTTTTGAAAAAGAGAAGGTTGTTGGAGAAGAATATTATCAACAATGGAATACGGTAAGCATGGAATCAAGGCATTTAATTTTTTTCATGCGCTAGGCCTCTAAATTGCCAAACTCTATTTATGTACATATTACTCTTAAATTAAAGATTTGTTAGCCCATTTTCCAAAATCAGAAAAAAATACAAAAGCAGCGGGTTGTTTTTTTAATTACATTTCCAATGTGCCTTGCAATTAAAAGAAAAATGTTATATTGACAAGTTTGGAATCCTTTACTACCAGGTATTGAGAGATAACACAAAGATATCATACGATTGGTCATATATTATTGCATGGGCTGGAATATGTGCATGCCTGCTAGCTGCAGTGCTGTTGTCAGCAGCTGCCATTTGCTTAAGGAACGAACGCGAAAAAGAAGAGCAGCTGAACCTACAATACTTAATGCCAGGTTTGTCGTATTTATATTTAACTTCGAGCCTCATATACATATTACCTACATTAATTTATATTTTCTCCAAATTCAGTTTATTCGCAGAAGCAACCGCCCTATCCGCCTTATGCTAGTTACCCGCAACCACAAATATATCCGGGGCCATATTACCACGGGTCTCAGTATGGACCATATAACTACTAAATAACACATATTTTAAGGAAATTTTATCACATTAGAATATAAGTAATATTAAAATACCATTATATAACGTACGTATTATAAATATACTTACTAAACTTACTTAAACTCCTCTTGAATATTTCAAACATGAAATGAAGTTGAAGTTAGTATGCATGCCTACGTAAGCGCGATATAAAATTGCATAAGTACACTGAGAAAAAGGGTTTGTTTCGACAACTAAAGATATCTAGTTTCCGAATTTTGACAATACTTTGGAACTGTTACCAAGGATTGGAAACTATTACCATGGGTTGATAACACAGGCCAACAAAAATTAAACAACGTTATTTTGACTAAAATATTATAGCCGGTTCTTATAGGATTTTTCCCGTACAATCCGAATCCGAATATTAGATTGGCTCTAGTTTTCGAGCAACTTAGGTTTAAAGGTGCCGAAAACGCATTTTGGATATTTTTGAGCCTCTGTAAAACATTAAATTGATGCAATATATATATCTGTGCGGGAGGATGTGAAAGCCTAAACACTGCCCTTTAATACTCAAAATCAAAAAATTATGGTGAAAGGGTTAACGGCCTTTATCCATATACTGCAGAAATTCCTGTACCAATATTTGAAGTACAACTCGAGGTTTCACGGATAAATCACCAAATACCGATGGACACTGACTCTAGCAGTGGAAATGAAGATGAGGAAGATACGTTTAAACTCAAGTTGCTTGAAAACTAGAGCCAATTACAAATTTTCAACATCAGATTCGGGTTCTACGGGACAAATCCTATAAGGATTGGCTGTAATATTTTAGTCTACATAAATTTTGCTGGCCTGTGTTCTGTTCTCTTACTTAGGGTTTACACCGGACAATACTGTCATGACAATAGCAACACATGCACACTTTTTCACTAATACATGCATACATTTCCAATTGTCTCAATCACTGTCTTGATTATTTTCAAGACAGTAAATCGGACAATGATTTGACGTATGCAGACAATAATTTTGACATCTTTTGCAAGAAAGAAGAGAAATTAATAACAAATGAACTAATAGCGTTTTCTTTTCTCACAAAAAATTTTACCCTCATAAATGGCAATATTCTCTTTGCGTCACACCCATCCCTAAAATATGGTAACATTAATTGCGCAAGAAAAGGAGGTTACCCTGGATATCAGCTGATGCTATTAACCAAAAAATACAAATTTCGCTAAATAGAAAATAAATCGCTTTATTAAAATGGAAGCAAAAAAGGAAAGCCCATTATTTAAAACATTGCAGCGTAAGTACAATGAAAACTTTTAACTAGAATTTCCAAGTCGAATATGGCTTTACTTTTTGCAGTTTGGTCAGATGGAGAGAGCCGGCTCCTTCTTGATAGATACGCGCACTACTTACCTGATATTGGCCCCATGAAAACGTTGAAAAATAAGAAGGAAATGTGGATAAAAATTTCATCAGAAATTGAAGGCAAAAGTCCTAAGCAGTGCGAGGAACGGTACAAAACAATTATAAGAAGAAAGAAAGCCGCTGTGGAAAATAACAACACATCCGGAGCAAAAAGGCAAAAAATTGACTTCGAGCGCGAGCTCGATGAAATATGTAAGCTGGATGACTCGATCGAGCCCAAAATCCAGATAAGCAGCCAGAATGTTTTACGAAAAAGTGCCTTTAATGAAAGTGTTGTGAAATACGAAAAAAAGGAAAAGAAAACTGTACAAGAGACTTTGATGGAGATAGCGCAAAATAAGGAGGAAGCCCGGGAGAGACGACACAAAGAAAAAATGAACTTAATTCAAAACTTACTGGGAAAGATGGTAGAAGACAAAAAGTATTAATCCCGCACCTACAGTTGTCCACGTAATAATAGGAGTGCGAAATTTTTTCCAGTTTTGACTACTTTTCTTTTGTTTATTAAATATTTTTTTTTTTATGTTTATAGAAGTTTAGTTGGTTATACAGCAAACACCATATAAGTAAACATTGCTAACTTTGTACAAAAATTTTAAAAATTCTGCAAAGGTTCAAAAATTGCAAAAATTTTAAACTTCAGAATGTCCAGAAAAAAATTTTGATATGCTATTTTGTAGATCATTAAATTGTATATAAAGAAGTGCAAGTTACAAGCTGCTAAAAAATCACGTTGATTTTTGGCAATTTTTTTGCTGGCAGTGTCTTCCATATAAAAGAAAATTGTCGAACATACTTTTCATGAAAAAATGCGAAACACCTTCAACCAAAAAAATTCTCAAAAATCAACTGGATTTCTTACCAACTTGAAATTTGCACTTCATTATATACAATTTAATAATCTACAAAACAGCATACCAAAATGCTGGTTAAAAAGTTTTAAACTTTTGCCGTTTTCGAACCTTTGTAGAATTTTTATAATTTTTGTACGAGGTTTGAAATGTTTACTTGTATGGTGTTTGGTGTATAACCAACTACACTTTTATAAAAATAAAAAATAAAAATATTTAATAAACAAAGAAAAGTAGTGAAAACCAAGGTGTATTAAACAAGGTGTGATTGACAATTCAGTGCGGTTCTCTTTTAAGGTACTATTATGTCAAAAAGTAATAACACACGAATTAACCCTTAGTTTTGCGTGTATCTTGTCAGCACTGATGCCCTAGGCATTTATTTCGATTATAGTTTTGTTTTACTTTCATTACCTGGAATTTGTATATTTTGTCAATAAAATAAAACAAATTGTTTATAAAATAGTTTTAGCAATTTTCTTGTTTTTAATTGCCCAAGTTTTATGCTTTTGTGCGTTTATTTTTATATTCAAATTTTTTATCCTAAACATTATTCGCCACTTATAAAAGTAGGATTTAACATTTGTTTCCAATTTTATATGTGAGCTTAACTCTAACAATTTCGAAGTTAAATTTTTTTCATGCGAAATAGTTTTCCATTAAAGACTTTGCTTCGAGCAGCTTTAAATTAAGCTCTTCCATACTTGCTTGCATGGTTTTAATTATTTCGGAAAGAAGAATATTTCTGTTCTCAACTTGCATTCTAAAGAGTCGCCTGTTTGAGTTTGGACATCAACAAATAATGTTGTTTTGTACTAGGATAGCCAAGGCTAAACTCAATCCACCCAAATCAGCTAACCGATAATAAAAAAGGACCACTCTTCTCTCT